AAGGCTATTAGAATAGAAGTAAGGTATGGGCAAGTTTGGTTAAAAGGGATGAATAAAGCTATCTTATTCTATTCTCATTTATAAAAGTCCTTCATTTTCTTATTCCTTCTTTTAGCCCCTCCTTGTGGTTCAACCACAATCCATTATCTTTTCTATTTTTCTAGCCTTTCATTTTCAAGAAAATTAAACTTAAAATTAAATGCGAATATAGATATTTTAAAATCAACAAAATGTTCTTCACCCTTTATTTTCTAAACGACTTTTATGATGATTATTTAGCCCCCCCTTTGGTTTGATTTTTAGTGGGCTACATTAATGGGGATTAAAGGTGAAAAAGAGAGTACGATGTTGAGTAGAATTGTACTCTAGTCTACATTTATACATATTATATTTGGTTCAATTTTTTTTTTAAAAAGGAAATTAATAATACCTTTAACCTTTTTTTTTTTTTTTTTATTCTTATCAACTAAATTGATCTAACGAAAAATAACTTATAGCAAATATAAAATGAAGAGAACGTTTTGCGTAAGATCGGACTCACCGTGAATTCAATATATCTGACATTAATAATCTAATATCTGACATTAATAATCTAATATATGACATTAATAATAATAATAATAATAATAATAATAATAATAATAATAATAATAATAATAATAATAATAATAATAATAACCTAACGTCAGATATTAGATTATTAATGTCAGATTTATTGGACTCAATGTGAGTCCAACTCATCTTATTTTTTTTGATTCATGAATTATGTTACTCTTTTACTATGTTATCACAATAATTGTGTGCTTCTACTATTTCATCAAAAATTGATTAATTAATTCCTAACAATTGGTAATATTAGCATGAAGTTTAATCTTTGATGACCTTTATACAAAAAGTTCCATTAATTTGTCACCAAAAATTGTTAGCTTTGAAACTAGATTCATCAAATTTAATTATTCATTGTCACAACAATAGTCATTCTTAGAATGCATCTTTAGTTTAAAACAATGCCTCTTTAGTTTAAAACTGAATTTTGTATCTATATGCTTCATATATGATCGAATATAAAGATAACTACTGTATATGCGGCATAAGTCTCTAGAATCTTTGATTCAAAAGTCTAGACTAGTCCACTTACAACAAGTGGCTCTAAAAAGATCATATGTGTTTCCTCAATTAGATTACCCTAGATGATGAACAATAGAGCAAGCTAAGTTTTGATCGATTGAAACCTAAATTAACCTTGATAAAAAGTGCAAAGGCCATCATTTGAATTCAAAATGTCTTCAAAATGTCAACTGTCATTTTATATTAAGGATCTATTATACATTTGTCTTATTATGTGTAGCTTGAGCTGATTTTCATTGTAGAAAAGAAGCTTGTGTGAGTGTGTCACAAACTTAATTTTATTGTAATTGAACTTGTTTTATATGAATCTATCTTAACTTATTTTAACTAATACTTCTTATATATATAAAGGAGCCTAAGTTAGGGATCATTTTATTCACATTAAGAAAAAATTATAAGATTTAGCATAATTAAGCTTTAATCAACAATATAATAGCTTTATGAATTAATCAGTAAATTAAAACTTAATAATCTCGATCTTGCAATTAATTACATTAGTAATAAACTACGAGTATTAAATATAAATACTTATAATCATTGATGTTTAATTTTAATCAATATTGTATTTGTCTTGGATCAATAATAAGAATTAAAATTCAATAATTAAAATGAGGTTAAACGTTTGTGTAATACCGCTTTATCATCAAAAGATAACTTTTATGAGTCATTATAAGCATGTGATTCTATTACAATTTTTTTTTTCACTTCCCTTGGCCTATCTGCCTATAGAGTGGTCTTATAATAATAAGACAGTCTAATTTTATGTAGGCTAGTAAATTAGGGTCGTGTGGTCGTAGTCGTAATCTATGATATCTACTACTATAGTACTATAGACTTGACCTATCCCATAGTCTAGACTCTAGAGGCTAGGCGACCCAATCGAAATATAATTAGTAAAATGAGTATGAGATGATTTAAAATGACATTTCACCTACTATAAAAACCTTTATTAGTAGATAGAAAAAACTTAGGATTAAAGCTAATTTCTACAACAATCTTCTTTAAAAAATAAACCAAGGTTCTTAATTGTTGAGACAGATTAATCTGTAATAGTGAAAAGGAATTATCATCGGAAAATCGAGTCGTAATCATGAGTAAGGACCCAAAGTGGGCACAGGTAAAGCACGTGGGCTTGGCCTTTGTCTTTGCTACTTGCAGTGGAGCCCCTTTTATACCTCTCCCTAGTAACTCTTCTTCTTAATATTTTAAATAAATTACGTAATAATTTTTTTATAGAAAGCTCAAAGTGTATATTTTTCCTCTAATTGGTTCTTGTATTAGGAAAATGATACATGCAACTTTAAGGGGTGTTTCGTTCAAATAATTTAGGTATAGTATGGGTTTAGAATATATAACATATATATCTCGTGTTTATTTAACAATAAATCAATTTCTACAAGATATGCGGTTTAAAATTTTTATGGGAGAACTGGGTATGGCTCATACCATAATAGGTATTAAATAAACGAAAATTGTAATTTTAAAACAAAACCAAACACATGGTGTAATGTATCAAGTTTCAACCCCATACTATTTTGATCTCATTCATGATTTCGAACCTATATCAAATTGCAAAATAAATTCTCCCTTAAAGTGTAATTTTTTTTTTTTTTTTTGTTTGTCTTTTGGAATGTTCTATTTTAGAAGAGAAAAACCATAACAATAAACGTATATTTATTGACATAATATATATATGGAAAAAAAAATTCATGTGGTATTTTGAGATTTTGCTGTGTAATTTCATAAGTATACTTTTTACAATTAGTTTAAATTTGAGTTTGGAATTTGCATTAAGGTAATGAGACAAACAACAAGAATTAAAAGAGTACTAATTAATTACTAAAAAGAAATATTATACATCATTATATTACTAGGCTATGTTCTATTCACCTTCTTTTCATTTATTTCAGAAAAAATAAGTTCTAAGTTAACAAATGGCTTCTAAGGTTCAATTTACAACTAAAATACAAGTAAGTTCTAATAGTCTAATAAGTTCATGTTAAATAAGTAAAAATTCAGGTAATTGAAACACACCCTTAAATATGGATAACTTCAATCGACACATATTATTATCACAAATTTCTAACATAATTCATATCGGCAATTAACATATTTCATAAATTGATATGGTATACTTATAATTTTAAGAATACGTGAAAAAAAATCCATGAACTAGTGTGTATAAATACTTCTTCGCATTTAATTATATTCTTCATTCTTATATGTAGCTGAAAAAGTTGTTAATATTATTTTCATCCTCCTCTTTTTCTATATGGTTATTATTATTATTATTATTATTATTATTATTATTATTATTATTATTATTATTATTATTATTATTATTATTATTATTATTATTGTTGTTGTTGTTATTATAAAACCTACAAAGTCAAATGATTTACAAGAAATTAGTGGGGAGCCGATATACAATCTGGGCCCCCACCCCTCTAGCTATAGCGAACCCGATCCTGTTGAAGATGTGAGCAGCCGCACGAGCACCAATATCCTGAGTCCTAGCGAACGCCTGAACCCGCTTCAGTAACGCAACATCATCCTTCTCTAATTCCCCCAATGAAGAAAAGGAGAAAGGAAGGAAACCATAGCCAATAGCCCTGCAACGCGCCCCATACTTGTCTCGCTTCTGCTGAGCCGCAACCGACACAACACAACCTGTAACAAAGTCAGACAACCCAGATTGTGTCAAAGGAGAAGACCCCGTCAAGTCAACACATACATCTAGGCCTCTATCCCAAGAATAAAGCAATACATCTGCTGGTCAAAGAGCCCCATCGTTTCCTCCAGTCAACCCAACGTTAACCTCCTTTCTCGCAGGAATCCCAGAGCGGAAACAAATATCAACAAGGGTATCACGAACAACGTTGTGCCGATGTTTAATACCCACCATCCCAGCACAAGACACTGCATGATCCCCAAAAATATCCCCATCAAAAACCCTTGAGCAAGCAGAGCAAGGTGTCGAAACGGGGAACAAGGGAACACCCAACCGGTAGCAAAGAACACAACGGTAAGTCCTACCATTCATAGTCTGACCCAAACCTGATATTGGGACCGCTCGCAGCCAGGCTGAAGTATGATCCCCCTGTTGGGACTTCCATAAAGCAACTTGACGCGGAGATAAGGAGAAAGTGGATTCCACAGATGCAGTGACCTTCGTGAAATATATATCTGCCAATTTCTTCATGAGTTTGGGGGCATCGATCTCACTAGGGTTACGCAAAAGGTCAGTCTCCACAATCCTATTAAAAAGACTAAGAGCGCCATCGAAGGCCAGTCCTGGACCAACCAATACCAAAATTGAGAAGAAGCAAAGCTTGAAGACCAGAATACTGCAAACGGGACGCAAGGAAAGCATAGTGTCGAACATCACCTGCTGAATAGACACCCAATCCTCCGTAAGAAAAAGGTAAGGTGGCAAGTCGCCATTGCCAATCACCAAAACCTGGCCCCGAAGCAGTTACAATGCGCTCCAAAGAACCTCAAAGGGCCATGTCAAAAGAAATCTGGGCCTATTATTATTATTATTACGATTTTTCACGAAATACGTTATCACTTTTATTTTTTTTATTTTTTTTTGAGGAGAATACGTTATCACTTTATTCACCATATAGCCATTAAAATTTTCAAATTTACCATATAACCGTGAATTATTATTATTATTATTATTATTATTATTATTATTATTATTTTATTTGGTGAAATTATAGATGAAAAACAAACCCAACTACACTACAAACTTTGGCATTTATTACAAAATTTTGCCATTCATTTCATTTCTTTTTATCATGCAACTGTCTTTTTTTAATTTATTACTACTACGATGATGATAGTACATGATTGATTACTATGGGCGATGTGGGTTCAGTAAATTTATTTAGTTTTCTTTTAATCATATAATACTTTTAATGCAGGGTTTTCAATTGCTTGTCTAATTTTTTTTATTCTTTTTTAAAAGGTGTGGAAATTTGTCTAAAAATGACATAATTTCTAGAGATGTTTGATTTTCTGAGTTTATGTCATTTTGACTTTTTTTTTTTCCCTCTGCCTTTAATATTTCCCCACCTTAGGAGAGTATTATTTATACTATATATACCCAAAATAATAACAAAACCAACAACCCAAAACACCCTTTCCTTTTTTCTTGGATTCTCTCTCATTTCCAAATAAAGATATTATTCAATTCACCCAAATTCTATTTTTTCTTCAAAGAACTGGAATTTTCTTGTAATTCTATATAATTTTTTTTTTTCCTGGGGTTCAGATTTGTTTATTTTTCTTTATTTTCTTACAAAATTCCAAGAAATAAGAACAAAAAAAAACTGACCCAAAATCTTTTATATTCTTAATCTTGCTGCTGAATCAAACTAAAAACAGCAGTACTATAATTACATACTAGTCTACTATAACAACTCTCTTTTGCTAATGAGTTTCACAACTCTGTTCTTTTCTCAGAAACTTGATGATTTGTGATAGAAATTTGATAATCACCTTGATTAATTTTCGAAACAATGAAGTTCATGAAACTTGGATCTAAACCTGACACTTTTTATACAGCTGAAGCTGTTAGGTAATCAATTCTCTTCATTCATTTTATTCATTTTCTTTTTCTTATACTATATAGTTTTTATATGATACAATTACTAATGTCATATGAATAAAAAATACAGGTCTGTTTCCTCTGAAGTCTCTAGTGACCTTGTAATTCAAGTTCAAGGTCATAGATATTTGCTTCATAAGGTAAACTAAATAAACTTTATATTAAAATTTTATAATATGGTTTTATTATTTAATGTTATGAATTATATTTAGTTTCTGATTTGTGTGTTACAATTTCATGCAGTTTCCTTTGCTGTCAAAATGTCTGCGCTTACAGAAACTGTGTGCAGAATCCCCTGAATCATCTCCGCGCCAAATAATCCAACTGCCAGATTTTCCGGGAGGAATTGAGTCATTTGAACTATGTGCAAAGTTCTGCTATGGCATCACAATCACCTTAAGTGCCTACAACATCATAGCGACGCGGTGTGCAGCCGAGTACCTTCAGATGACAGAGGAAGCAGAGAAAGGAAACTTGATCTATAAGCTTGAAGTTTTCCTTAATTCTTGTATTCTTCAAGGGTGGAAAGATGCAATTGTTACTTTACAGTCAACAAAAGCCTTTCCTAGTTGGTCTGAAGACCTTGGGATTACTAGTAGGTGTATAGAAGCTATTGCTGCTAGGGTCTTAACACACCCTTCTAAGATTAACCTCTCTCGAACTTACTCGAGGCGAGGTGGTGGTGGTGGTGGTGGTGGTAGAGATGATATTGTTTCTTGTAATGGTGGTGGTGGTGGAGGTTCAGAGTGCGCGAGGCAAAAGAATTTAAGCAAAGGGTGGTGGGCTGAGGATGTTGCAGAGTTAGGTATTGATCTGTATTGGAGGACTATGATAGCAGTTAAGTCTGGTGGAAGAGTGCCTTCACACCTAATTGGAGAAGCATTGCAAATTTATGCTTCTAAATGGCTTCCTACTAAGCAAGTAATTCCTGACATTGATTCAGATAAGACAGGAGAGAAAACATCAAAGTATAGGCTACTACTCGAATCGATTGTAAGCTTGCTGCCTTGCGAAAAAGGTGCTGTATCCTGCAGCTTCTTACTTAAGTTGCTCAAGGCAGCGAATTTGCTTAAAGCTTCTCCTTCGTCGAAGATGGAGTTAGCAAGGAGAGTAGGGATTCAAATGGATGAAGCCAATGTGAAGGACTTATTGATACCGAGTTTAGTGAGTGAAACGCGGTATGATGTGGATATTTTCATGGCAATTTTGGAGCAGTTTCTGTCACAAGGGCAGAGTCCTCCAACTAGTCCTCCTAGGACTAAAGGAAGGTATGAGAGGAGGAGGAGGTCGAGGTCAGCTGAGAATATCGATATCGATTTTCAAGAAAGGAGGAGGTCTTCTTCAGCTTCTCATAGTTCTAAGTTAAAGGTGGCTAAGATTGTGGACAAGTATTTGCAAGATATTGCTCGCGACACGAATTTGCCCTTGTCTAAGATGGTTGCTATTGCAGAAGCTATACCGAGTTTTGCTAGAATCGAACACGATGATCTTTACAAGGCCATTGATATTTACCTAAAGGTTTGTGCTGTTCTATAGTCCATTTCTAGAATATCTTCAGATTTATTGGTCTGTTATTTTCCATTTTAGTTCATAATATGATGCTGGTGTCAATTGTGTTAGTAAATTAACCAACTGCCCTGACCCTTGTATATTTCTACCTTCAGTTTTAGGGTGGATTACCAAATCTCTTGGCCTCTTTTTTCCTTAATGTCAATTTTCACCTAATTTAACTAGCATGTTAAGAAATTAGCCACCAAATTAACATACCCTAAATTATGTCATTTTTGTTATACCAAAGTTATGTTGTTCTGTTTCTGCAACTGATTTTGGAAAATTCTCAAATTATTGTGATTAGCATCAATTGTTTTAATTTGATGGCAATTCCGATCAACTTTAAATCAAGGCTTACAAAAGTCCTTGTAAAATTTTTAGCTTTTGTTATTCTAGTCAAAAGATGTACAGTGTGGAAAAACGCCGAATTTATAACAATAATATGCACATCAAATTTGCATATCACAACCCATTAAATCCAACATTAGTCCTCTATAAGTCCTCTTGATTCCCAATAAATTCCCGGCGATATACATTTTAAGCATAGTACAGTTATACTTGTATACATTTTAAGTATATACATTCCCACGATATAATTCTAGCACGGTTGTTAAATTGTCTCATACATGTGATGTTATACAACTTTTGTTTATAGATGAATCAATTAATAATGAATTTTGATCATTCAGGCACATCCAGAGCTCACAAAAAGTGAACGAAAACGTCTATGTCGAGTTTTAGACTGCAAAAAATTATCCGTAGAAGCCTGCATGCACGCTGCACAAAATGAGCTACTCCCACTCAGAGTAGTAGTCCAAGTCCTTTTCTTTGAGCAAGCTCGAGCAGCAATGGCAGGCGGTAAAGTCACTGACTTGCCTCCTGATATCAAAGCATTGCTAGCTGCACAAGACGACGATTCATCTAGACCACCTGCAGCATTAAGCACAACAACAACTATCCCAGGTACCGAAGATCAGTGGAGTGTATCAGGCCTTAAATCACCCAAATCGAAGTTGTCAACACTTAAAATGAAGTTAGCTGAGGATGACTTAGAAGAAAATGGTATTGCGAAAGGATTAAAATTCAAGAACCTTTGTTCAATCCCTACTCGGCCTAAACGAATGTTCAGTAAGTTGTTATCTATTAACAACAACAGAAGTGTGGCTGAAAAGAACTGAGGCAGAACACAAAAAAAATCTCCTTATTTAAGGGATGTTTTTTTTTTTTTTTTACATGACCAATTAAATATTTTGCATCTAATGAGAAAGAAGTATATTAAGTTAAACCCTTTTGTAAAATTTAGGCAAAAACATTAAAATGTGAATTGATTATTATGTAGCCTATTTCAATAATGTGAAGAGAAATGTTTTTAAGGCATTAGGAGAGAAAAATAAATCTCTCAAAGGATACTCTCAAAATTGAGGCCACAAAATTAGGATTTGGTAGTTGTAAATGTGTAAGCATATATATGGGACCATTAAGGTGGTTGTGTTATTTATCCATATATAATATAATATATGAAAATTATGCCCCTGTCATTTATTCTTTTACAAACTTAATATTGGATCTTCATTCATTATACAATGCAATCCTATCTTCTCATATCTGACTATCTTCCCGCAAAATGTATGTTTTTCAAGCTTTTAATTTGATTGTTTCTTTTTTTTTTGTTTTTTTGTTTTTGGTTTCGAACACTAAATACAAAAAGGCACGTAATAATGTAGCTTACATGATGAAAAGGCGGATCACAAGTAATAACTTTAAGTTTATATGTATTCCGTGATCTAATTTAATAAAATGTCAGTGCTATCTTTCTTTCAAACTAAGAAAATTAGAGTACAATTGAAGTTTATTGAGGCTTAATTGCAAGCATTTAAGTTTTTAAAGATCTAAGCTTAGCTGTTAATGATTATGGAAATATTTGATACTATTGCAAAGTAGTACTGAGAATATAATGATTAAGAAGGTACAAGAAAAAGAAGCATGGGAGACAAGATTTATATTTGCACAACACATAAGTAATCTTTTTGTCTCTCGTGCTGACTAATTGATTCCAAAATCGCATGTTTAGATGATTTACACCATAATAACTCATTCTTGGAATAAGTTTATATTAGACATGGTAATTGGGTTCAGCAGTCCATGTACGTTTTTGTAACCGATATTCATGGGGTTGACTCACTCTTGCCTTCTCTCTCTGTTATGTGACGAAATATGATACTGACTAGAGCTATTAAAATTGGACCTGACCTGAAACCCGATCCAATAACAAGAATTTGAACAAATTTTGCGATCAAAAACTGGTTATATCCGAGCCTTACCAAACCAACACAAAATACATTACATTAATAGAAATAAAATGAGAATTTTGTTGCTAAATTAAACTAGATGGCATTTGAATGGTTGAATTTGGCTATAAATGATTTGAAAACTTTTGTGTACACTCGGTTTTCAATAACGTTAGTGTAAATCAGACAATATTCGGATAACTTTAAACATTTTTTTATGAATTTGATATAATTTTTACCCATTTAAAGAGAGTAAATTATTCAATAAGCATAGACAGATTTTATATATATATATATATATATATATATATATTGGGGTTAGATTTTTTTTTTTTTTTTTTTTTTTTTTTATTTTTTTTAACTTTACATTGAATGTAAAATATCTATTGTACACCCGATTTTTTTACAAGTTTTGGTAAATGATTACGGAGTAAATTTTTAAATTCATAGAAACTTGTTATTTCCAATGTATGTTGTGTATATTTTTATACCGGCTCGTCTTGTGTGTGGCTGGCCACACCATGTGGCCGGTTGTAAAAGAACAAAGTAACCCCTATAATACTGACTAAGTAACCCCCGTAACATTGACCGAGTAATCGCTGTAACACTGACTGAGTAACCCCTATTATACTGACGAAGTAACCCTTTAACACTAACTAAGTAACCCCTGTAACACTAAGGAAGTAACCCCCATTATAACTGGTCACACGGTGAGGCCAACCACATATAAGAATTTGTGTTTACCTATATATGATCCAAAAATTAAATTAGGAAAAGTCAATTCAAATTATTTATTTGACCTGAATTTGAAGATAATTCATCCTAATTCGGCCCGATTAGTTTTTAGGTCTTGTATACCATCCTAGATTTCTAGGCTAACACTTTAATCACTACTAGGTAGTTGGCATCTACATTTTTACTTTCCATGATTTTAATCAATTAAGCTAGGTTCATAAAAGGGTTGTTCATGTTCATATCCAAATTGTGGCAAAGAAAGCGGATCAAAGCGTCGCACCGGACTATGAGTATGCTTTCAAGTTTATAGATACAAATTTTTACCTAGACTCTAGTCTTGAATGAAATCCCTGCACCCCCTTGCAAACAACGCCGCATCTCTGTTGTTTTTAATTTCTTTCACCTCCAAACTACAAGACAACCTAACTTGATCTCCATTTTAATCAACTTTAGTGAATTACATCTCTGTTGATCTCACTGCCATTTTCTACTTCTCCGTCGATCAAAAAATATTTTTCGGTATAATCACTGCATTTGCATGCTTTAAATATATTTATGAATTGTAGAGATTTTTGTGTATCGATTTGATCAAAAATTGATTGTCGTAACTTACGATCAATTAGTTCAACAAGCAAATGACGAGCTTAATCAAACAGCCAAGCCATATCAAGAAACTAACACAAGAATTATAAAAATAATTTGATCCAAAATTTCCTAATTTTATGCTGGTTTACTGTTGTGGTGGTGGCAATGACGAGGCAAATAAAGTTGTCGACTACTTGTTGTTCCAATTTTTAATTTACTTTGTGGTTAATGCCAAATATGAAAGTAATAGAGAAGGAGAGAGAAAAAGATGAAGAATGAAGCTTAGAGGATTGCAGAGTATTAAGAAGGAGAGAGAAAATTATTAAGACTGAAGCTTAAGAAAATATAATAGAAACATCGTACTGTATAATGAATTTGTTCACGAATGAAAGACAAATATATAAATGAACATATAATATTTTCTAATTGAACATTAAATTATGATTTGATAGAACATTTACTTATTTTCATAGATGATAAAAAATTTATAAAAATTATATCTATACTATATATTAAAAAGTGCTCCTAAACAAGTTTAAGTGTCACATGGCACTCTCCTCATTCAATCAAGTTTTTCATTCCATATGTTCAAATATATGGATATCTTACAAGATTCAAACCCACAACCTTCAGCTTAAACTCCAACACATTAGCCACTAAGCTATTACTACATTATTTGTCATTCTATCAAAATTAAATATTAATAAGGATTTCTATCATGGAAATAATGCAGTAACCCGAGCCTGGGCCTAAAAACTAGTTTTTTGTATTATTAAAGTAATTTGAGGATAATGTAGAGGCTTATGTGAAAAATAAACATATTAAAAATTAGTGGAGTATATAAAGTACATGAATATTTATACATATGAAAATGAACATCAAATAATATATAAATGAATATTTTTTTTTTCATTTCCATGTAAAACTATAGAAAATTACAAATTGCTATTGAAATTCTTTATTAAATCTATAAAAAATATATAAAGATCGAAGATGGTAAAAGTATGGACATTTATCAGAAATCTAATGATTGTCTATTAATATGCGAATAATGATCATATACTAATATATAAATGAACATCTATTAAAATGAAAATACGAATTAGATTACACTCCCTTGAGAGAGAGGGAAACCCTCCTTGAGAGACAGGAAACCCTACCTTTCGAGAGGAAACTCCACCATGCTTAGGGCTGCGGTTTTCGTCGGAGTCATGGCAGAAGACATTGCTGCTCAATGTGCGTTGCTGAATATTAATGAAGAGGAGGAAGAAGTTGTGGACGTAGGAGAATTGAATGTGGATGGGAACGATATTAGGGTTTTCCTTACCCTAATTGGAAGGCTATTGACAAAGAGAGGTATTAATGTTGATGCGTTCAAGCGCACAATTACGCAATCATGGAATTTGACGAATAAAGTGTTAATCTGGAATATTGGAACAAATCGTTATGCTTTCCAATTTTTCCATTGGAAGGATAAGGAGAAAGTCATGGCTGGAAGACCGTGGTGCTTTGAGAATAACCTTCTTATCCTTAACGAAATTACAGGAGATGAGCAACCTGCTAATGTGAACCTAAATTTTGCACCCTTTTGGATTCGGATGGAGGATCTACTGTTCAATTGCAGAACGGATGAGCATATAAGAGTCATTGCCTCACGTTGGGGGTCGGTTGTAGAAGTGGAGGAGGATGTAATAGGCATTAGTAAAAGCAGGAGAGTCAAGGTGATGCTCGATGTGCGCAAACCGCTTCGTAGATATCAAAACCTAAAAACGAGAGAAGGTAATATTGCGAAAATCTCCCTCAAGTATGAGCGATTGCCTTTATTTTGTTTTTCGTGTGGGGTGATGGGCCACAGTGAGAAAGATTGCTTAGTGGTTTCAGATGAGGAAAACACACTGGGGTATGGTTGGGGTATGTGGTTGAAGGCTTCACCAATGAGGGGTAGGAAACAAGAAAGTGCGGAGATGAGGGACATGGTAGCTGCTAGAAAGTTAATTTTTACACCAAAATCAGTAAAGGATGCTTTTGATGGGGTGAATGTTGATGGGGGGTAAGAATAGTAGCGTGCAGAATGTGTATCAGGGGATAAAAGAGTCTTCTCATGGAGAGGGAAAGTTAAAAGAGGAGGGGGAATTGAGGAATGATGAGGAGAGAAGGTACATAGAGGGAATAGGATAGTTTGAGTAACCAGGAGGCAAGTTCCCACAATCTTAGTCAGGGAAAGCAGGGCACAGAGGAACTGAGGGAGGAACAAGGAGCTGAAATTACAAATTATAACACTGAGAACCTATGCTTTAGTGCAGGTGTAGTAGCCGAAAGAGGGAAAGTGAAGAGGAGGATGAGAGGGAAAAGAAAGAGTGAGGGAAGCCTGAAATCTCAAAATCAAAAGGGAGTATGTAATGGTAATACGGGGGGGGGGGGGGAATGGAGAGGGAATTATGAGTATCAGTAAAGAAAGATTGGGGAGGACATGGAGGTGGATGGCGAGGGTGATATGGAGCGAGTAGGCAGCAATAAAAGTGGCAGAAGGTCGGCAGGTGAAGGTGACAGTGTGGTTTTACCCTTTAAAGTAGCGGAGGTGGTCTCAATCCCACCCCCGAACAGCAATGAAACTACTAAGTTGGAACTGTCGGGGGATTGGCAACCCCCGTACAGTATGTGCCCTCCGGGATATCTGCTGGAGGGAGATGCCAAATATAGTTTTCATAACGGAAACTAAAATCGAGTCAAGAAATTTGGAGGGAATTCGGAATAAATGTGGTTTTACGGATGGTGTTGGGGTTAGTAGTAATGGTAGGTCGGGAGGATTAGGGTTGTGGTGGAGAGATATCAAGGCTCATATGGTTTCTTTTTCCACAAACCATATTGCTATTGATATAGTAAACAGTGATAATAGCCCGATTTGGAGAGCAGTTGGAATTTACGGTTGGCCGGAGTAAGAAAATAAACAC